CATAGTGCCTAAGGCACTTGACTGCTAACCAGAAAGCTAGTGGTTCAAACCCACCAGCCACTCCTTGGAAGGAAGGTTGGGCAATCTATTTCTGTAGTGATACCGCCTCGGAAACCCAAGGAGGGGTCTGATTCGATGGCACACGACAACAATAACAACAACTTACTATTACTATGGATGAATAATAGCTGTTTAAAATTCAGATTACATTTTATAGTTGACAGCTCATTTTCTCATATTTTATGCTTCTTAAAACATTAGAAAGGACCTGTAGTGGTGCAGTGGTTAAAGCAATTAGCTACTAACCAAAAGGTCATTAGTTCTAACCTATCAGCCACTCTATGGGATAAACATGTGGCAGTCTACTTCTATAAATATTTACAGCTTTGGAAACTCTGTGAGGCATTTCTACTCTGTTCTGTAGGGTCACTATGAGTTAGGATTAATTCAGTGGCAATGGGAGATATATTGGTATTATTATTATTATTATTATTGATATTATTGTTATTTCCACATTATAAATAAAGAAACCAATGCTCCCAGAATTTTAATAATTTTTCCTCAACAGGAACCCTGGGTGGTGCAAAATGGTTAACATTCTCACCAGCTAACCAAATGGTTAGTAGTTCAAGTCCACTGAGAGGCATCTCAGGTGAAAGGCCTGACAGTCTATTTCCAAAAGTCAGTCATTGAAAAAACACTATGGTGCACAGTTCTGCTTTGGCACACATGGGATCACCATGAATTGGAATCAACTTGGCAGCAACACTTTTATTGTTTTTTCCCCCATAATTGTAGTTAGAGACTTTATTATTCTTTATTAATATTGTAGTTTTGAAACTCTAAACTCCAATTTGCACCTTCTGGTTTTAGCTTCCTTTTTCTCTCCATCTCAATACGTCTATAGTTCATGCTTTTTGGAGTCTCTTGACCATTTTATTTTTACCCAATCTGTACCAACTTTGGATTTTACTTCCATATTCAAGATAGGGTTTATCATGCAGGTCACTTTCATCATTGCCTCAGCAGTTTGTAACTTGCATTTTCTGTTCCAAACCAAAGCCAAACCCACTACCATTGAGTTGATTCTGACTCATAGTGACCCACATTGAGTTTTTAAGGCTGTAAATCTTTATGGAAGTAGATTGCCTCACCTTCCTCCCATGGAGCAGCTGATGGTTTTGAACCACTGACCTTCTGGTTAGCAGCCAAATGCCTTACCAAGTATACCACCAGAGCTCCGTAGATTTCCAGTTCACATACTGTTAAAACCTTTCCCTCAGTTGGTTGCCCTCTCTGACCTCTCTGCTTTGAATTCTCAGCCTGGAGATGTACTGCTGCCACCACATGGCCTGTAGCTATCAGTCCCTCAATAGCACATGATTAATCTTTGAACTTGTCCTAAAACCTAGGTAATTTAAAACCTTTTTTTTTTTTTTTTGTAGCAAAGGAAGTATTTAGCTGTAGACTTCTGGGATAAGTTTTATACTTACAAAAATTTTTCTAAAGATAATATATGTGCTGAAATCTCATCTGTAGCTGCATCTGGAGCATAATGTATGCACTCGGGTGTCTAAATTTCAGGCAAAGTTACAGTACCATGGAAACAATTGAAAATTAGCCAGCATGTGCCTGTGTGAGCCACTTTCATTAAGGAAAATGTATGTAAAGTGGAAAAGTGATTTATTTAGCAAGGCCATCAAAGCATCAACCTTATGATCTCTATAGTAAAAATAATTAGAAATGTCAGATAATCTCATTTTATTTCATAAAGGGTAATATGATTTCATATCCTCACAACTGAACCAATGAGTAGCATCCTCACAACTGGACCAATGAGCACATCAAGTCCTCACAAATCCTCACAACTGGACCAATGAGCAGCATCACAATAAATGGAGAGAAGATTGAGATTGTCAAAGAATTCATGTTACTTGGTTCTGCAATCAATGCCAATGGAAGTAGCAGTCAGGACATTAGACAACGTGTAGCATTGGGAAGGTCCACCACAAAGGAACTGTTTCAAGTGCTGAGGAGCAAGGATATCTCCTTGAGGACTAAGGTGCGTCTGACAGAAGCCATGATATTTCTAATCACTTCCTATACATGTGAGAGCTGGACAGTGAATAAGGAAGACCGAAGAAGAGTTGATGCTTTTGAGTTGTGTTGCTGGTGAAGAATGCTGAAAGTACCATGGGCTGTTAAAAGAACTAACAGATCTGTCCTGGAGGAAGTACACCCAGAATGCTCCTTGGAAGCAAGAATGGCCAGACTTCGTTTCACCTGTTTTGGTCATTTTGTCAGAAGGGACCATTCCTTGGAGAAGGATGCCATGCTTCGTAGGGTGGAGGGTCGACGAAAGAGAGGGAGGCCTTCAACGAGATGGACTGACACTGTGACTGCGATGATGGACTCAAGTGTAGCAGGGATTGTGGAGCTGGCGCAGGATTGGGCAGTGTTTCGTTCTGCTGTTCACGGGGTCATTATGAGTCAGAAACGACTCTATGGCACCTAACAACAAAAATATGATTTCATGGATGATATAGTGATAATTCATTTAGGGATTTGATTAATTTTTATGGATATATCGTTAATTTTTATTCTACAGTATTTTATTTTCTGTTATTCTTAAATAACAGAAAAGTTGGTATTTAAACCATTTTTAAATGTACAATTCAGTGGCATTAATTACGTTGACAATGTTGTGCAACCACTACACGTATGGGTATATCTTTTTCTTTTTGAAAAATTTATGTCATAGAGATCACACATTTTTTGTTACAAGGAAAACTCAGAATGATAGACACAGTGTTGGTCTGAAACATATGACATTTTAATATAAAAATGTCTATCATTTGAAATATATGCTATGGAAATAGATGTAATTTCTTTGCATATATTTAAGGATTTTGGGGATATATAAAAGGATAAATAAATATGTATTTTTTTTAAAACAGTAAGGTAAACTGTTGGAAAGAATTATGTGTTACTAAGTGGTTATATATATTTTTCACCAGAGAAGTTGGTGATGGGAATGAGAAACTGTCTTCTCAGTATTTCAAAATTTTTTTCATTTGATGAGAATAACAACAAAAAAATGAATGAACAAATAATTTTTTTTTTTTGTCCTGTTTTCATTTTGTCTTCTTTTCTCAAGGTAACAGTAATACTCCTGGACCTATTTCCTTTAATTTATTCTTTTACTCCTATATGGAAATTTTAATTTTGTGGGTAAAAATAGGTTTCCTTTTAATTCTCAGGAGTAACATTGGCTTTTTTTGAAAAATTTTGCATGTCAATGAAACATAGCCATAGGGCTTTTCTGAAACTCAGAGGAAGACTCTGAAAAATGATCCTGTTGTCTGTGTCTTTTATAGACAAATGTTATTGGCAGATTCCATGCTTCTGCTCTCAGGCCAAAGGAAACAGTCCAATTTTAGACTTCCGTTCTTAAGACTATGACACACAAAACCTAGCCAGAGAATGGTTTAGCAGGCACAGTAATGACTAGTTCAAGTAAGGAAAAATGTCTGAAATATCCTAGATATAAAATTTCTTTAAGATGTTTGCAGTCAGTGACAAATCCAACATTCCTTTGATTGTGTTTGCATCTCTGGCACTGATAGTATAACCACGGTGGTAGAGACTTCTTTTTTGGAAACAGTGACTCCTCTGTAAAGGGTCCAGGAAGAGCATTTTAGAAGGTCAGAGAGGGAATTCTTACATCTTACTCTATTCTTTTCCTAGTAACTCTTCACCTCTTAGGAAATTTGGAAAACACGGCTTTCCTCTCTTGTTCTTAATTAATTCATTTAACTAATTAAAATTAATTAACTTTGGGAATGTGTTCATTCAAAAAGAGTACTTGATTATTTTTTATCTTGCAATTTGTAGTAAAACCCACTCTATTGTGGCTTATATATAAAACAAAGGACATGCAGTAACTTAATACAGTGAAACTTGTGAGAGCAGGAATTTGATGAAACTGCCTTTTTTTCTGGGTCTTGGCAGTTTTCCTCCTTTCACAGTACTGAGTGCAGTCTTAATCACTTTTCTGTAGCTTGTTTTAGTGGAAAATGTTTGAGTTTTCCTTCTCTGACTGGTTTGCGCCTCATACAAGGGTCTAACTTTTGCAGGTTTTACTATTTCTCATGGTAAGCTTTGACATTGCAACATAATTAGTAAGCATTACTGCATCAAGAATCTGTGCAGCTGGTCAGTGGAATTAATTGTGGTAGTTCAGTTGTGTGTCAGCTTGGCTGGGCCTGGTTTTGAGTGTCTGGGGAGTTGGCTGTAGTTATTCCCCAGGATGAGACTGGTAATCAACCTCATGGTGGAGTCTAGTGAAGCAGCTGAGTAGCTGCCTTAGGGATGTGGTCTGTCTCCAGTGTATAAGAAGAAGCATTGAGAAAGGTCTCTGGAGCTTTTGGCATGCTTGGACTTTGCATTTGGCCAAGTCATCTCAGTGGCCTGCCATGTTGTCTGCTGATCTTGGGACTGTAAATGGATTTGAATTAGAAGTCTGCCATGTTATTTGATAATTTTGGGACTGTGACATTTTACTTGTCAACCTTGGGTTTGTCAACCTCAGCAGCCAGCAGCTGCATGAGTTAGGAGAAGCCTCCAGTGTCAGTGGGCTGGAGGCAAGAGGCAGAGCTGAAGGCAAGGTTGAGGGGCCTTCACCCAGCCGTTGAACTCAGACTTCTAGCCTCCAAAACTGTAAGAGAATAAATCCATGTTTGTTAAAGCCACCCATTTGTGGTATTTTTCTGTTAGAGTGGCACTAGAGGACCAAAACATTAATGTAGATATGAGTGTCATCTGAATCTCAAAATCTGTACCCTCTGTGCTGTGTTACAGGTTTTATTGGCTATGCTCCATATGTTAACCGTATAGTTCAGCAGTGGAATCTCCAGGATAATGACGATGATCAGCTCTTTTACACTAAAATTTATATTGATCCATTGAAGAGAGTAAGTAATGGTGTACATTTCTTTTTCTTGTTTTGGTTTCTTTGTTATGATTTGTTAATACAAAATGTTCCCATGCAAAGGATATTATTGACAGTGTGAAAGTCACAAAAAAGTTAATTTCAAAGGTTCTTTTTAAAAATATATTTTAAATATATCTATCATATGAGATAGCTATGAATCAGAATTGACTCAATGGCATACAGTAACAACAACAAGGAGATTAGAGTTTGAGAATTTGTAGGGGTGTGGTACGGGCAGAGCCTTATGCCTTTTATTAATAATATTGCAACTGTTACAAATAGAACACTCAAAATAGCCATGGCTTAAATAAGGTACACGTTTATTTATGCATGCATTTATTTATTTTTTTTCTCTAACACATAAGAAAATATCTAGAACTAAGCAGCATATGGATGTTATGGTGGCTTTATGGTATTAAAAAGAACAGCTCTTTCCTGTTCTACCATTAGCCCATAGTTCCTATTTTCAGCATAACCTCCTTGCTCAAAACAGAGGCTGGAGGTTCAGCCATTGGATCCATATTCTAGGCAGTAAAAAGAGGAATAAATAAGGGGCCATCTCATTTGAATCAACTCTCTCTGGAAGTCTAACACAACACTTTCTCATAATTACTTTGACCAGAATTATGTGGCCACACTAAATATGCAAAGGAAATTTTGTCCTTTATTCCAATATGCCCTATTAAAATTTGAGTTCTGTTACTAAAGGGGGGATGTTGGAGACAATAAACAGTCTGCCACAAGCCTAGAGGGAACATTCCTGAGATTCATTTGCTATGGAGAAAAGTAAAGCCAAGGCTGTCTAATTCAAGACTCTTTTTTGTATATTTATGTAATATAAAGTAATATTTGACAAATTTAAAATATATGAAAAAATGCATTTCTGAAGTATACTGGATTGTGTATTTGTGATACTGTCTTTAGAAAATATAAGAGGTTTTTACAAATAAGACTGTCTTGCAATGAGTTTGCAATAATAGCTGTTTTCATCTCAACTAAATACTTCTATCATCTAAATATTTTCATTATACACTTAACATTAAGACACTTCATTCTTAACATGTTTATTTTCCTTCATCTCTCTTTTTCCTTTTCTCTCTTGTGTGCCTCATGCAACAAGCTTGAGGACTTGGGCTCTTATCAGGAAGGAGAAACCTACCCTTGGCATGAGTGCTGGTGCAGACAGCATGATGTTTTTCTTTTCTTAGAGTAATTCAGCTGTGAAAATATTCTGAATCTTACTTAGTTGCCTTTGCTTTGGGCTACTTTCTCTTAAACATCACTGCTGGGTTTGTAGTATTTTTAATGGTATAACTCTTATTTAAGTTTCCCTCTGGTTAGCATGCAGAGATAATTTTGAGATTTATTATTAAGGGGAGCTCTGATGGCATAGTACCTAAGGCATTTGACTGCTAACCTGAAGGCTGTTGGTTCAAAACCACCAGCCACTCCTTGAAAGGAAGATTGGGCAATCTACTTCTGTAGAGATACTGCCTTGGAAACCCAAGGAGGGGTCACTATGAGTTGGAGTCAACTCGATGGTGGTGAGTTTTTTTTTTTTTTTCTTTGTATTAAGAGAGGACCCATGGTTGGTCAGTGGTAGGATTCTTGCCTTCCATTTGGGAGACCCAGGTTTGATTTCCAGCCAGTGTACTTCCCCTTCCATCAGTGGAGGCTGGACTAGTGCTCTGATGCTGAACAGGTTTCAGCAGAGTTTATAGATTAAGACAGACTAGGGAGAAACTTTTGTCAATTTGCATTTGAAAATCAGCTCTTGAAAACAATGGTGTGATCGCATAGTGCAGGAGAGCACCATGAGTTGGGGGCTGACTCAGTGGCAGAGAACAGTAGCAGTGACATTATGGCAAGACAATTGTGCAGAAAAACTGGTGCATTGAAAATGATGATGTTTGTGAAGCTGATCAATCTATATGATAAGTTTGATCAATCACTGCCCCATTAAGCAAATCAGTATAGACAGATTAATCTGCCGTATTACCCCCTAATCTGAGCATATTAACACATCGGAGCTTGATTTCTCCTGCTGCAAGTCCAGCAAGGGCTTTCTGCTTGTTTTTGTCGCTCAAGGACTCTGGCAAATGGAACATCCATCTCAGACCTGACTGGGTGATGGGCCAGAGTGAAGGAGCACCCTTAGCTTCTTCCCCTGGCAATTAATGCTCCTGAATAGAAGTGACACTTAGTGGTTCTGCTAACAGCTCACTTGTCACAGCTAGCCCCAAGTTAAAGATGTGGAAGTATTTGGAAAACAGCAAGGATGATATCCATAACTTTTGTCCTCCAATTTAACTAAGTATAAAATTATTCTTTCTGAAGACTATTGCTGGGATCATTTTACATATAAGATCTTTAACTACTCCCTCCCCAAAAGAAAAAAAAAATAAACTACATTAAAATGATAGTGTTGTTTACTGTTTTTGATGTCATTTTCAATATTATCTCTATTCTTATTTTTTAGGAAGCTATTAACATCACACTGGATCACAAATGCAAAATTTTCCAGACTTTAAATGGAGCTATAGGTGTGTTTTCTAAATAAGGGGTTGCTCATGTATACAGATGAACATCTGCGTTTTCAACTTTCTTTCCTTTTTTATGTCTATTTTAGGACTGTAAGTAAGGTTTACAGTGAAGATTGCTACCTTTTAAAGTTTTTGGACTTGAACTTAGTTTGGTAATTGCAATACATTCAGTTTAAATCATTTGCTAAGTCTAGTGGAAAAAAGAAGCCTCTGGCTTTTGGTAACTTAGAGTATAGTGGCTTACAACCTGGAGCTTACAGATATATTTATAAACAAATATAGTACCTTATTAGCAGAGATTCTCACTATAAGTTCTTTGTATTATGAATTACGCACAAATGTAGGAACACATCCTTTTAACCTAGCTGAAAGGCAACTGCCGACAGTTAGATAGACATACAGTGGAAGGTGTGTATATGTGTGTGTGGGGGGTGTATTTATGCCTCCATGTCCATGCATATGTATATTCTTAAATATACATAAAACTTTAAAAACTACATTGAAATTAATTAGTCAGTACATTGAAAATTAAAATGCATTAATTCATTAATGTATTAATACATTAAATTTTTAAAATACACTGCAATTCAGTGCAACTCATCGTATCTCTTCAATTCAGTGAAAAGATTCTCAGAATGGAAAACATTTGGTTTGGAGTGCTTAGGAAATGTCAGGAAAGACCTGAAACAAAAGATTGCTTCTTTTTCTCTGTGATTTTTAATATCCCTGGAAACAGTGTGAGGCCTGATTTTTAGGAACTAGAAATGCTATCAGTGATGACCAATGATAGAAACTTTGCTTATGTGTAAACTCACTGCCGTTGAGTCAAACCCGACTCATAGCAACCCGTCCTTGGGTTTCCGAGGTGGTATCACTACAGAAGTAGATTGCCCAGTCTTCCTTCTGAGGAGTAGCTGGTGAGTTTGAACTGCCAGCCTTCTGGCTAGCAGTCAAGTGCCTTAGGCACTATGCTACCAGAGCCCCTTGCTTATGTGTAGCAATATTATATTCACCATGCATATCGTTATTGTTATCTTCACAATAACCCTGCAAAGCAGGTGTGCCAGTCAAGTTGACACACAGCTCCAACTATCAGCAGGCATGGAACCTCTTTTACAAATGGACAGATTGAGTGTGAGAGAAGTAACTAATATAGGACCATACTGAGTCCCTTTCTTTGCTATTCATAAGGTTTTCCCTGGCTAATTCTTTCAGAAGTGGACGGCCTCTTCCTTCTTCCTAGTCTGTCTCAGTCTATAAGCTGGGCTGTTACCTGTGCACCAGGTGCATCGTGCTGGGTTTTAAACACCAGAGGCTCAGCCTCAAAACTCACGTCTACATGTCACCACAGTAGGACAAACCGACAGACAAGTTTGTCTTGCTGTTGGAGACCTCTCGTATCACCCCCACCTGGGTCCCTGTGGCTGACTGTTCCTCTGTCTGGCTTCCTGGCTTTTAATCCCCTTTCTCCTGCTCTTCCCGCTTGCTACTTTGGGTATCCCTGAGTTGTCTCTCCTCACCTGTAACCCTGGGACTGACTCAACTGAGTCCCTGGGAGGTACAAACAGTTAATCTGCTCAGCTGCTCACCAAAAGGTTGGAGGTTCAAGTCCGCACAGAGGTACATGGGAAGAAAGACCTATTGAGCCACTTCAAAAAATCAGCCATTGGAAACTCTATAGTTCTACTTGGGCACACAGGGTGGGAGGGGTCACAGTGAGTCAAAATCAACTCAACAATAGCAGTGGTTGAGATATAGGGACAAGATTGCAAAGATGCTTTTATCCACAAGACACCCCTAGTAGCTTAGTACTTCACTCAGTTTGAAGGTGCCAGGTGAGAGGAAGTGAGATGCTCAGAATCAGTATCTGAACCAGGGTTCCTTTATTTTATTCAAGAGTGTCTGCTAACTTAAGAGTAGGTAAAGTTTTGAAAAGTGTTATATAGCATACTGAGTATATTGCATGAGAAACTGTATGATAAAACAAACACACAGAGATAAATATATGTGTGTGTGTGTGTATATATATATATATATAATATATTTATATAAAGAATTTAACACATACCCCTATTTTAAATCCCTGAAACTCATTTTCTTTTTTTTTTTTTTAACTCAGATGAAGTTGTTTTGAAATTTGAAAATGGCAAAGCCAGAGCTAAGAATGTTTTTTATGAAACATTACCAGTGGCAATTAATGGAAATGGACCCACCAAGGTGAGTAACAATAACTTTTACTTGGCTTCCTATTATTTGGATCAATATGTGGAATTAAAAAAAAAAAAAATTCTTTAAGATGCTTTATTTTGATGCCAATAATTACTTGACATCATCTATAAAACCATATATTTTCTAGTTTTATTCAAATTAATTAAATGATTTTTCCCCAACTGATTGATAACTTTTCATCCAGTTCATACACATTTTGTTTCATGACAATGATTGCAATCCTCAGAAAGTAACAGCTTTCTTTCTGCTTCTTCCCTGTGGTTACCTTTTCCCTGTGTCCTTTTCTATTCCTGCATTCCTAGCTATCTCCCGGAACAAATGCTGCCCTTCTGACCTCCCATGTTTGATTGTTCTCAGGAATATACCTCTCTGGTGTAACTGTTCACCTTATAGGCCTGTCTGTTGTTTGGCTAAAGGTTAAGTCACAGGAGTGAGTTCAACTCAGGCCTGAAGGGTAATTAACTCGGAGTGGTAATCTCAGGAGTTCACCAATCTCTATCAGACCAGTGAGCCTAGTCTTTTTCATGATTGTTAGTTTTCTCTGACTCTATCCAGGATGTCCAATTTTGATCCCTTCTGAGTGATTGACAGTGGTATCCACATACCATCTAGTTGTTCTGGGCTCAAGGTTGTGTAGAATGAGGTTCCCATGGTCCTCTGGTCTCTTGGATTAATTGTTCCCATGCATTTTTTTATTTTCTTCACTCTTTGCTCTGGAGGAGGAAAGATCAATAGTTGTATTTTCGATGGCCACTTGCAAGCTTTTAAGACCCCGGTCCCTACTCACCAAAGTAGGATGTGGAACAATGTTTTAGTGTACTGTGCTATGCCTTTGAATTGTGGTGTTGGCAAAGAATACTGAAAATATGGAGTGCCAGAAGAATGAACAAATCTCCTGAAAGAAATGCAGCCAGAATGGTCCTTGGACATAAGAGTGACCAGACTTTATCTCACCTACTTTGGTCAAGTTGTCAGAAGGCTTCATTACCTGGAGAAGAATATCATGTTTGGTAATGTAGAGAGGATCAGTGAAAAAGGTGAAGACTCTCAATGAGATGGATTGGCACAGTAGCTGCAAGAATGGGCTCAAGCTTAGCAAGGATCTTGAGGCTGGAGCAGGACCAGGCAGTGTTTCATTCTATTGTATGTGGGGTCACTATGAATTGGAGCTGACTCAGCAATACCTAACAACAACAGAAACAACAACAACAACATATTATGCCAATTCCGCTTCATGTCCTCCAGTACCATGATCCTAAGCCCCTAGGCCCAATAACAGAGTGACCATTTTCTAAGTTAACAGCACTGTTAAGTTTGGGCTATAAATAAATGACTAGAAAGCTTCCTCATGCCATTTTATGCCACAGTTGATGGGTTATAGTTGACAAAGACATAATTACAAAATCTATACAATTTTGAATGCTTTGTGAATTCAGACATATTTGAGTTTGCTTAAAAGGTTAATTGATTGTAAAATTTATGAAGTTTTTACTATTGGTATCAAAATCATTTCATATATTACGTTGAGTTTGGATAGTTTTATGTCACAAGAAAACAAAATCTTAAATTATCAAGATCATATATGTCTATCTGTATGTAGTAATGACAACAGAATTTTGAGATGCTTGATTGCTTATTCTGACGTAACTAAAAAAGAGATTGACAGGTAGATTTGCACTGTGGAGACAGAATAGGGAGATGTAGTGAGATGTTTGAGAGTAGTGAGTAGTTGCAATTCCAGAACAAACTAGGTACATGCAAGGAACTTCAAGAGATAGCCCACGTTGGCAGCTTCTCCTCAAACACTGCAGAGGTAGATTCATTTTCTCCTCTATTTAATCTTTTTGCCTTACTTGCATCCCACTCCAGCTCCTCTATGGAGCAACTACCCACATACTCTCCTTTTAATCTAGTATCAGTCTTCCCACCTGTTCTCATTAACATTTTAAAGACCTTCAAAGTTTCTCATCCTATAAACAAGCAAAAGGCAAGCCCCAACACAAAGAAAAACATCCTACTCAATCTGCTTTACTTTCTAGCCTGTTCCTGTTATTTCTCCTCCCTTTCACAGCCAGACTCCTATAAAGAACACAAAACTCCACCACTTCCCTCTTCACACTAGGAAATGCTCCTATCATTCACTGTTGTAATTTCCTTTTTGATCAGTGAACATGCCTCAGTGCTCATTCTTAACTTCACCAGTGACAACGTTTGACACTGTTGATTCTATTTGGTCCTACTTGCAATACTCATTTCCTTTGTTTCCATGATGCTCAGCTGATTTGTCTACTGTTTTTCTAGCATTTCCTCTTCAATCAGTGTCTCTCTCTTTTCATAAACCTTTAAAGATTTTTACACTTTGTGTGTATGTGTGTTTTCCACAGGTGTCTATCTGAGAACTCTTCCCTCTCCTAAACATAAAAAATTGGGTAATTTCCCCCATTCTAGTGTCTACAAATCCTCTCAATGTGGATGGTTTTATATCCTTGCTCTAGTTCCTATCTATTTCCTGAGCTTCAAGTTTGAATACCCAATTGATATCTTTATTTGTGGATCATACTGAACCAAAACCAAACTCAATGCCATTGAAGTTGGATCCAACTCTTAGCAACTCCTCCTTGGGTTTCCGAGGCAATATCACTACGGAAATAGATTGCCCAACCTTATATAGGTCCAAAACTCATGATCTTTGACTCTGTTTCCTGCCAGTTGATTTTGTTTGGCTCTAGACACTTACATTCCAGATGCTATTCTTTCTAATTCAGTGGTTTTATCTTACTTTCTCAGTGCACAAGAAACTTATTTAGTCCAGGCAACTAGCAATTTTCTACCAGTAGGAACTGCCTAGCAGCAGCCTGGAGCTACAGTGTTCTGCTGAATCAGAAACCTGTTACCATTACTCACTTGTATAATGCCTTTCCATTGACTTAGGAGTAAAGTTCCTGATTCTCACATTGTCTTAGAAAGCTGTTCTCTGTGTTGTACCTGATTTACCAAAAAAACATCAAACCAATTGTTGTCAGACCTCAATGATGAGAATGGAGCAAAACTTTTGAGACCTTCATTTCTGATGTGGCACAACTCAATGGGAAGAAATAGCCACAAACATTCATTTATAACAGGAACATGGAATATACATAGTATGAATCTAGGAAAATTGGAAGTTGTCAAAAATGAAATGAAACAAAAAAGATTGATATCCTAAGCATTATTAGTGAGCTGAAATGGCCTGGCATCAGCCATTTTGAATCAGACAATCATATGACCTACTGTGCCAGAATGACATATTGAAGAAGAATGACACCACATTGATCATCAGAAATAACATTTCAAGATCTAGCCTGAAGTACAATGCTGTTAGTGATAGGATAATATGCATACATGTACAAGAAAGACCAGTTAATACTACTGTTATTCAAATTTACACACCATCCACTAAAACCAAAGATAAAGAAATTGAAGATTTTTACCAGCTTCTGCAGTCTGAAGTTGACCAAGCATGCTATTAAGATATTTTTGATTATTATTGGTTATTGGAATGAGAAATTGGAAGAAAATAAGAAGCATCATAGTTGGAAAACATGGCCTGGGTGATAGAAATGACCCTGTAGATCAAATGTTAGAATTTTACAAGTCCATTTGCTTATTCATTGCAAATACCTTTTTCCAACAACATAAATGGTGGCTATACATGTGGACCTCACCACATGAAACACATATCTGTGGAAAGAGGCTATGGAAAAGCTCAGTATCTTCAGTTAAAACAAGTCCAGGAGCTGACTGTGGAACACACACCATCAATTGCACATATGCAAGCTCAAGATGAAGGTGAAGACAATTAAAAAAAGTCCACGAGAGCCAAAATACAACCTTGATTATATATTATATACTTATTACATCCCACCTGAATTTACAGACATTATGAAGAATAGATTTGATGCATTGAACACCAATGTCTAGATGAATCATGGAATGACATCTCGAACATCATACATGAAGAAAACAAATGGTCATTAAAAAAAAAAGGAAAAGGAAGAAAAGACTGAAATGGATGTCAAAAGAGACTTTGAAACTTGCTCTTAAATGAAGAGAAACCAAAGTGAATGGAAGAATTGGTGATATAAAAGAGCTGAACAGAAGGTTTCAAAAGGCAGCTCAAGAAGACAGAGTAAAGTATTATAATGAAATGTGCAAAGAACTGAAGATAGAAAACCAAAAAGGAAAAACATGGTCAGCATTTCTAAAGCTGAAAGAACTGAAGAAAAAATTCAAGCCTTGAATTGAAATTTTGAAGGATTCTGTGGGCAAAATATTGAACAATGCAGGAAGCATCCTGATAAGATGGAAGAAATACAGAGTCATTGTACTAAAAAGAATTGGTTGACCTTCAGTCATTTCAGGAAGTAGCATATGATCAAGAACCAATGGTACTCTAGGAAGAAGTCCCAAGCTGCACTGAGGGAGTTGCTGAAAAACAAGGCTCCAGGAATTGACAGAAAACCCATTAAGATATTTCAACAAGTAGGTGCAACACTGGAGGGGCTTACTTGTTTATGCCAAGAAATTTGGAAGACAGCTCTGTGGCCAACTGACTGGAAGATATCCATATTTGTGCCCAATCCAAAGAAGGTGATTAAACAGAATGTGGAAATTAGTGAACAAAATCATTAATATCATATGTAAGTAAAATTTTGCTGAAGATTATTAAAAAACAATGTCAGCAATATATTGACAGAGAAGTTACAGAAATTCAAGCCAGATTCAGAAGAGAATATGGAACAAGGGATATTATTACTGATGTCAGATGGATCTTGGCTGACAACAAAGAGTATCAGAAAGATGTTTACTTGTGTTTTATTGACTATACAAAGGCATTCAGTTGTGTGGATCATAATAAATTATGGATACCATTGCAAAGAATGGGAAATCCAGAGCATTTAATTGTACTCATGAGGAACCTGTACATAGACCAACGAGGCTGTCACTCA